ATCCAACGCCCCCTCCCACCCTAACACCCAGTCTGACTGGAGACAGCCGGATGCCGGCTGACCCTGGGCCCGAGGCGGGCAGTGGCTGGCCGGGCCTCCTCATGTCCTGCCTGAAGGGCCCCCATGTCATCCTCAAGATGGAGGCCATGAAGATTGTCCACCCTGAGAAGTTCCCCGAGCTGCAGGCGGCCGCCCCCTGCTTCCCACCTGCACCCCGGCCCACCCCAGCTCTGGCACCCAAGCGCGCCTGGCCCTCAGACACAGAGATCATCGTCAACCAGGCATGTGGGGGGGACATGCCTGCCTTGGAAGGGGCGCCCTGCACCCCACCCCTGCCTCGGCGGCCCCGCAAGGGCAGTGCAGAGCTGGGCTTCCCCCGCGTGGCGCCCGTGGACGAGGTGATCGTGAATCAGTACGTGATGCGGCCTGGCCCCACGACCTCAGGGGCCCCTGCGGTGGCATCACCGGCTGCGGGTGAGCCCCTGGAGTGCCCCACCTGCGGGCACACGTACAACGTCACCCAGCGGCGGCCCCGTGTGCTGTCCTGCCTGCACTCTGTGTGTGAGCAGTGCTTGCAAATCCTGTACGAGTCCTGCCCCAAGTACAAGTTCATCTCCTGCCCCACCTGCCGTCGCGAGACTGTGCTCTTCACTGACTATGGCCTGGCCGCGCTGGCCGTCAACACGTCCATCTTGAGCCGCCTGCCACCTGAGGCGCTGACTGCCCCATCCGGTGGCCAGTGGGGGGGCGAGCCCGAGGGCAGCTGCTACCAGACCTTCCGGCAGTACTGTGGGGCCGCGTGCACCTGCCACGTGCGGAACCCGCTATCAGCCTGCTCCATCATGTAGTGCCCGCCACCTGCCACAGCCCACTGGTCCTCGTGCACTGCTGCTTCAGGGACCCGGCCCTGCCCTGTCCCCCTCTGACCCCTCGCCCACCACAGCTCCTGGCCCCTACCCGTGTGGCATTGTCGCTGCAACCAACTTTGCCATTAAAACTCTGCCAAAGTTTGCACCTTGTCCCTGGACTGAAGCCGGCTCCTGTGGCCTGCACCCAGGCCTGGCCAGGGTGGGTGCCAAGGACTGCAGCCCACATAGGGCTGCCAGAGGGAGGCCCAGCACTGCTTGGGTTCATCCTGCTCTGCTCGCTGGCCAGGCTGGGCTGGGCATGCCACTCAGGAGGGCTGGACCTGGCTGTGTGCACACGCATGTGTGCACGTGCAGAGCCAGCTGCCTGCGTGCACCAGGCAGGACTGGGGGCAGGTGTGCAGAATGGGCTGAGTTGGGCAAAGGGAGGACATTTCCTGTGCATTGGCCACTGGACATGGGGGCAGCTGTGCGGGGGGCAGCTCAGTCTGTCTGGCTCCTCGTGCCCACCTGACCCTCTGGGGTTGTGTCGGAACGGCATTTGGGCCAGTCCGAGCTGGGGTTGGGACAGAGGCTGGCTGAGATTGTGGCAGGGTACAAGGACCCGGGAACCTCCTGTCGTCTGGCACTCACACGACCTGGATTTGGAGAAGGAACCTTTGCAGGGGTAGGGAGAGGAGAGCCATCGGGGATGGTGACAAGGGGTAATGACAAGGACAGCAGTGCAGTAGCCATGGGTACAGTAGCCGCTGCTGTTTACTGAGAGCCATTTCCTGGACCAGGCACAGCGCCCAGCATGTCACCACCAAGCCCATGAGGTGGTGCTGTGACTGTCTCTGTCCTTCAGATAAAGGCCCCAGGCTCGGTGATGTGAGGTTGCAGGCAGTCAGAGGCCTCAGCTCAGCACTCCAGCTCCAAAGCCTAGCTGGGCCTGTGGGCCTTGTAGCTCAGGGGCATTTGCCAGACCCCCAGCCTCTCGGTAACGCCCCCTTGGGTGCTGACCGGGCCAGTGAGGAGGCCCTTTGTGGGCTGAGCTTGCATAGGAAGGGCCCTCCCCTCCGGTGCCCTGACCTTCAGGGAACACACACTGGCCCTTATCTAGGACATGGGCAGATCGGGGGGGCCTGCAGCCCCTGCTCAGGGCCCCACCCTCTCCAAGGAATTGACTCACTGCCAGGCCTCTCTGTTCACTTCCGTGTCCGCTGTGCCCCTCTTGTGGACAGGCTAGGGTGCAGTGTGTGTGTGTGTGGAGGGGGGCAGCCCAGCGGCAATATGGTGTCCATCTGTTGAGGAGTGCTTGGGGCCCTGGTCACAGATGTCCAACGCCATCCTTGGGCACTAGTGGTCACTGTCTGGGCAGCAGGGTGGTTTGGAGTCTGGCTGACGCAGGGGCTAAGCACAGACTCCTGGGTGGCCCTGGGCCCCCGTCTTGGGTCTTGATTGAAGACGAGTGCCCGGTCACGCTTGGGTTTTTCAGCCCGGTCATCAGGCCCCAAGTGGCAGGTGTGACAGGCCCTACTCAGCGGCCCGAGCCATCTAGCAGCATGAACAGCAGCCCCAGCAGCATGAGTGGCGTGAAGACAAGCAGGAGGCCCAGCAGCTCAAGGGCCAGCAGGCCCAGCAGCGCCAGGCGGCGGACGCAGGGGCCCCGCTCCCGCAGAGCCCAGAGCCGGGCGCCCAGGCAGGGCGGGCAAGGCAGGAAGGGCAGGCAGCCCCGGCCGCCCACGGGCCCTGCCAGGAAGCGTAGCTGGTAGCGGTGCTCTAGGGAGGCCCAGGGCCCGGGCCTCCGGCGGAGGGGAATGGGGGGTGTGGGAGGCGGGGGGTGCTGGGGCCCATCAGCCTGCAGCAGCTCCTCCTGCAGCCGGCAGATCTCCCACTCCAGCATGGGCGTCTTCTGGCGACACAGGGGACATTGTACCCGGCCCAGGTCGGCGCTGGGGGCCGTGCTCAGCAGCTGGTGCAGGCAGCCTGAGCACAGGCTGTGTCCACAGTTCAGCAGGGTCAGGCGGTGCTCAGTGGGCCCATAGGGCTCTGTGCAGATGGGGCACTCCTCTTCCTCTACGGGCCCAGCCCAGGGGTGGGCTGCAGCTGTGGCCCCCAGCAGAGGCTCACTGTCCAGAGTCCTGGCACCTTGGGGGTTCCCTAGGGCCCGGCTGTCCACTTCTTCATCTGCCAGCACTTGGTGCAGTGGGTCCAGGCACTCAGGGCCCAGGGAGGCTGAAGGTGGACTGGGCAGCCCAGAGCTGAGGTCAGCGGGGTCATGAGTAGGGGCCCTGGGACAGGAGCCAGGAGGGGTGGGCTGGGACCCCAGGGTGGCGACAGTGCTATTGGGGCTGTGGAGGTCAGTGTAGCCCTCTGGGGCCAGGGCAGGGTCTGGCACTGACCTTGCGGCAGCCACCGCCTCCTCTGGGCTCCTCGCCCCACTCTGAAAGTTTACTTCGCTTGGGCCCCCGAGCCGCGCCAGCTCTGGGTGGCTTCTGGGCCACACGTGTGGTCCCCACCAGATCTGCCCGAGCCTGGACGCAGCCACCACCACGAGCCGAGCCGTGTCAGTGACTGACCTAGACCAACGGGCTCCCGGCGAGGCAGTGTAGGTGGGCGGGCTCGCCTGGCTGCTTCAGCAGGAATTTCCCTGAGCGCTGATGGCCCATCCCAGGGCGGGCACAGTGCCCGCCCTCCTGGGCCACACCCCTCCCTCTGGGCTCCCCAGCCAGGGCCACGCCCCCTCCTTCCAGGGCTGCAGGCTGCTCCCCGGGCTGGGAATGGGTGGTCAACAGGGCCAGCTGGGTGACTCCCCATGCCCTTCCTAGCCGGCGTCCTTTCCAGGTAGCCCCCAGCTTGGCCATCGGAGCCCGGGCAGAGCTTGCACAAGGTGGGCAAATAGCTAGCACCCACCACGTGCGACTCAGACACCCAAGTACTGCAGCAAAGGTGCCCAAGGCAGTGGCCACATGACCCCCCATGGGCGGCTGTCCCCATACCCCGGAGCTGTCAGCCCCTCCACCACCTGACGCACAGGACAGCACAAGGAACAGCAGGTCAGGAGCAGCCATCCTGAGCCTGGGATTTATTGCTGAGGCTTCTGGGAACTGGGTGAGAACAGCGCATGCTGGCTGGAGCCTCACGGCCTCTAGGCCTGAGCCCGAGATCTGTGGGGCCCCGAGACGGCACCAGGCACTTGGTGGCTGATGTGGACAGAGACGTAGCTGACATGTGGCCCAGGGAAGAGGAGAGGACACTCGGCCCTCCCAGGGACCCGCACCCCGGGGGGTTCCTATGCTGTCTGGAAGCTGGTGTCTGAGGAAGCCCCCTTAATGCCCACCAAGCTGCAGTACCACCCTGGGTCACCATTCCTGCGCAGCCTGCAGCACCGTCCGACCTGGACCCAAGTCAGGGCCAGTGGGGAAAGGCCAGCTGGAACCCGGAACCTGCGTGGGCTTGGGGTTGGGGCTGAGTGTGGGGCCCTGGGTCGACTGGAGTGCCGCTGTGCCGAGGGGCTGCCATCCTCCCACTTGGGATCAGATAGGGCGGGAAATGGCAACAGACCCCAGACGGCAGTGGTCAGAGTGGCTGCAGCCCACAGGACGGCTCCTCAGGCCCACGTCTCAGTCTGGAAACGCAGTGTCCGTTGGAGCCTGGCAAGGTAGGCAGCCGCGTCGGGGCCCGACAGCCCTCCCTCCTCCTGGAAGATGGATGTCAGGGCTTCTGACACATCTGCTGGCATGTACTTGGCGTTGCTGTAGAGACAGACCAGAGAGGGCTCAGTGTAGCCGGGCCCCCCGAAAGCTAGTGCCACCCCATCCTGCAGCTCAGGCTCACCCTGCCAAGTAGAAGTAGGCGCCCTGGCGGTCCAGCAGCTTCCACACCAGCGGCCCGAGCTCCCGGAGCCGGTGCTGCACATACACCTTCTGCTCCTGCAGGGAAGGGCAGGAGTGAGTCTGCGCCTCAGCCCTCGGCCTCCCCATCCGCCACACCCACCTGTTCCCGAGAAAAGGCCGTGACGAGGGTCAGGCAGCCCCTCTTCTCCAGCTCCTTCCACTCAGCCTCCCAGTAGAAGTCCTGGTCCCGCCAGCGACAACCGAAAAACAGGAAGTTTCCTGGGGACACAGGGTGGCCTCAGGCCTGGACTCACCCGCAAGGCCCGGCCCGCCAGCCCCGGCCCCACCCTGCGCTGGACCCTGTTTGCTCACCAGCCTGACCCTGGGACACTCTCTCCTGGATGGCCGCTCGGAAGGGGGCCACGCCAGTGCCAGGCCCCACCATTATCACAGGCGTGTCTGGTGTCTCTGGGAAGGTCAGGCCCCCAGGCCGTACCCACAAGGGCACCTGGACATGTCCTGTTGCAGGAGGGTGGGGGCATGAAGAGGCTTGGAGGACTAGGACCCCAGCCCAGGACTGGCCGTGGCACAGATGGGAGACTGGGAGCCCAGGGCCCAGCCCCTCACCCCACCCTCCAGAGAGCAGGGGTCACCTTGCCCCGGGTCCAGAGATGCCAGCCAGGAGGAGCAGAGGCCCCGGCGGGGCTCCTTGAGGCGTGTCTGGTACTGCACTACAGCCACGAGGATCTGCAGCTTCGAGGGGTGAGCCTGGGGGAGGGGACAGTGGGTGCCCTGCCCTGTAGGGCCACCCTGTCTGCCACCCCAGCTGCCAGGGGCAATCCCGGGCGTGAGATGCTGCCCAGCCCAGCGGCCCAGCCCCAGCACGCTCACCAGCAGGGAGGAGGCAATGGAGAAGGCACGTGGCCGGATCGGGGGGATGAGGTCCAACAGGTAATCTGGGGGGATGGCGGCTGCGGTGCACGGGAAGTCACACAGCACCTGCGCAGGGATAGCTCAGGAGGATGGGCCAGCATGGCCACGTGTGGCTCCAGCCCAGAGCCCAGCCTGCCACCAGCCACCCGCCACCCGCCACCTGCCACACCTCCAGGGCGGTCCTGCGGGGCCGGCTGCAGTACTGGGACAGCTCCTCCTGGCCTGCAGCAGAGCTGAGCTCCAGCAGCTTATCCCGCTCCAGCTCGTTGGGGGACAGGCAGGCCAGCTGCTCGAAGAAGGACCGCCGTGGCACGCCGGCTATGTCCAGGTGCTGGGAGACGAGGTGCTGCACAGAGCAGGGCTGGGGCAGCCGCACGGGGCAGGGGACATCTGCAAGGAGCAGGAGACCTCATGGAGCTGGGGACACTGGGCAGGGCGGGGAGGCAGGGTGGCTGCTGGGGTCCCCGCAGCTCACCTGGCTCCCGAGGCCGAAGCGTGAAGCACCATTCGGGGTCCAGGCCCAGCAGCTGGCAGAACTGCTGGACGCGGCTGGCTGCATTCTGGGGCTGGATCAGCACCACGTCACCAGCCGCAAAGCTGTGTGGGAAAGCCATGGGGGGCTGGAAAGGACGAGGGGCTAGGGGGCAGGACTGCAGAGGAATGGAGCGCGTGTCGGGGAGGGCTGGGGGTCCTCCCACCCAGCCACTGTCTCCATGCTCCGCCCTGCCAGGTGCCGCTCCCAGCTTTGGGGACGACCCTCAAACCCCAGACCATGGCCCCTTTGCTGTGGCTGTGCCCTCCATGGGTCCCAGGACGGACCATACTGCCCAATTGATGTCTCAGGCCCTCACCTGATCCCAGAGCCTGCGATATCAAACTCGATCAGACGGACGTCTTGAAAGTGAGAGGGACCGGTGACCCTCTGGTTGGTGACCATGTGTGCCAGGAAGGGCTGCAGCTCTGAAGGAGGGCTCTGAGGGTCTGTCCTGGCCACACGATGCTCCTCAGATCCTGTCCTGGGGGCCTTCGGAAGGAACTGCAGGGTGAACTTGGAAGGCAAACTGTGGAGAGGGCACACACCTGTCACCGTCTGCAGGGCCGGGGCCTGCGGAGGCCGCATGGCTGCACCCAGGCCCATACTCACGGGACTCCGGGGGGGATCACACCGAGGCCGAGGGATGCGGGGAGCAGCCCCAGCACCTTCTCCCACAGGTCGTGCAGCCACGGGTCCATGGCAGCATCGGGCCTGCAGAGAGGGCACACATGCTGGTCCAGGGGGCCCTGCTGGGGGCTGGGCCGCGGGAGGGCGTCCCTCCCACACTCACCCCAACTCATGCTGGTCGTCGCCCAGGCACACAGGCAGAAGCGCGGTAGCCCCGAGCTGTAGCAGCCTCCGGTACAGCTTCTTAGCCACAAAATTGAACCTGTAGTGAGAGCGAGGTGTGGGGCTGGAGGGCGGCCCGGGGGAGCAGTCCAGCTGGCTGGGCAGGGCAGGGCAGGGCAGAGGACAGAGCTGTGTGATGGCCTCCGAGGAGTGTGGGGGGTGGAGATCGCATCTCCCCAGGCCATCGGTTCTCATGTACTCACTGCCAGCTCCTTCAAAGGCAGCCCTCCTGGGGATATCCAGGGGACAGGGGGACATCATCAGCACTAGGGGCTCCCCTCCCCTGCCAGTGTGCACAGATGTTACACACAGAACAGACCCCATAGACGAGGGTCATTCATCATTTTCTGTCCTTTTCTCCAGAATGGGTGTGAGCTTCCACCTGTGGCGTCCGGCTTTGGAAGTGTGGGAACCCCACGACCCTCCCTCAGCCGTGCTGGACAGTTAGGGTTTGAGTCTTGTGACTTAATGCCACGTGGAGCCCGAGAACAAACCCCTTGGCACTCACCAGGGAAAGCATCCAAAGCAACACTACTCTTGCTTAGGACACAGACAGACGTGTTGTGCAAATGTTGAAGAAAACAAAAAAAGGCAGAGGCAGTTACACAGCCCTGCCAAGAGATGGCCTGGGGGCGGCTGCCTGGGGCTGGGAGGTCTTTGGTACCCACTGCGCGTTCGCACTGCGCTGTCCTCTCTGCTTACGGTGAGCCCAAACAGCACAGGAAACGTGCTTGTGTAACGTGGGGCAAGAGCCACGCGGGCCTTTGTTACCACAAGTCACACGTGAACACGCGACGCTAGGTGGCCTCCTGCCCCGAAGACTCGCAGGCACCCCCAAGCCTGGCCTCCGTTGCGCTGCCCTGCCACCCTTTGAGCCCCAGGGCCTGTGGCCGAGGAGACGGTGCTCACTGGGGAGCATCTCTGGGATGAGGACACAGGGCCAGGGACAAGCCCTGCGGGCTGGGTCACCTGTCCCTCCACCAGGACACCTTGCACTTGACCCTGACAGTCCCCACCGGCCAGCAGCCTGCTGCCCCCACTCACTTGGCATACGAGGAGTCCCCGAGGCCCAGGATGGCGAAGTCCATCTGACAGAGGGAGGTCGATGGCAGGTTCTTCCGGAATATGAACCTCCAGAAGTTCTAGTCAGAAGAAGCCGAGTTAGGAGCCATGCTCCGGGCCAACAGGACTGCAGGGTGGGGCTGCATCCTGGGCCTTCCCCGGGCCCTGCTCTCCTGCTCTGTAAGAACTTTGTAATTAAAACAAGACCGTTTTTTATTCTACCACAAGGCAAGACATTGGGGAAAAGGCAGAAAACCGTGAGAAAGCAAGCTGTCCCAGAGCCACCATTGTGGCGTCAGGCATAGGGCTCTGGGAGAAGACTGCGACTCCACTGTGGGGGGCAGGCTGGTGGGGATGGAGGAGCTCCCCCGGGGTCCTTGCCATGTGGGCCACTGCCGCCCATGGCCCTCAGCTCTCCCCAGGTTGAAGGAAGTGCCTGCTGTTAGTGGGGTCTCCCGCGGACGGCTTCTCCCTTCCTGCCAAGACTCCCAGGCCCTAGGGCCCCTCCGTCCTCAGCCCTCTGCCATGGGCTTGGGCCTCCACAGCCACAGCAGCAGCTCTGGGCAGGGCTGTCGGACTTGGCAGCCCCTATGCCCTCGTCTCACTCCACTTGGCAAAACTTTCTCCTCTGGAACCCCGCTCCTGGGCCCGGAGCCACCATCAGGCTGTTTGCTGGCCGAGGACCCACAGGCCTCCAGAAGTGTTTCTAAAACACAGCTCCCTGTCACCTTCAGCCCGTGGTGACCTGGCCCTGCTATACTGACCTCACTTCATGCCTCATCTGACACAGGCTCACTGGGGTGGGGGGACTGTGCTGAACTCTGCTCCACTGGCCACCGCTGGGGACCATGCCCACTGTGCCTCCTGAGGCCTCATTTCCTGAAGCCTGTGGCAACTTCCTCCAGGTGAGTCCTGGGAAGGGGTTCAGCGAAGATCACTCTCATGACGGTGTGTCTGAGCGCACCTCCATTGTCCCCTCACTGACTGGCGACTGGCAGGTCACTTAGGTTGAAATTGCCTTCCCTGAGATCCTGAGGCTTTGCTCTGAGTTGGTCCAGCTGGGCAGTCACTGCCGAGAGCTGGTGTCCCTCTGTGTCCTGCTCTGTCCTCAACGGTTGAAACCCCTGACGACATGCATTGGTTGGGAGGCAGGCCCTTCCCGGGGACCTGGCAAGCTCTCTCAGGCTGAAGACCGGTCCTTCAGTTTGGGGATTTTATCACCTTCCTGTTACTTCCTTCTTCCTCTCTCTCATTCCGGCTGCTGGAATGGTCTTAGAGTTTCCTATTTTCTTTTCTATTTCCTTATTTTTTTGTTATTTTCACACTCTGGAAGAATTCCTCGACTTTATCTTCTGATCTTTTGAAGTTTTCCTGGTGTTAGAGAGTCTTGTCAGTCTCCAGCTCTGTTCCACGTATGCTGCGTTCCTTCCCATCCTTGCAGATGGGATCCTGGCCGCTCTGCCTCCGCTGCTCTTGGTCTGTCCTGCACAGGTGTTTTTCCTGCAGTGTGGTGGGTCTTTGTGGTCTGTACTTAGAAGCTGACAAAACCGTGAGGTGGGGCCTGTCTCCCAGTGGGTTTCACGGCTGGAAGATTGGGCAGGACCTGGCTGCCCAGCCCTCTCCTATAGACACTTGCTCTCCCGAGTGTCCCTCTTGTCTGCTGCCTGGCCACAGCGTTCTGAGGACCGTGACAAGGGGGCCGGTGTCTTCTTGTTCAGCACACAGCTGGTCATTGAGCGTGGGTTTCAGCAGGAGCCATGCCCCCACCTGTGTCCCTAGTTCCCCAGCCTGCAGCCTCTCGTTGGAAGGGCCCCCTCCTGGCCACCTCCATGGGTCCAGCCCTGGACTTCCCTCCTTTTCCCACCCTCATCCCCATGTGCAGTCACCATCACCCTCGTGCTGTCAGCTTTCGAGGTGGGGTCTGCACCTGTGCCCAGCCCAGCCGAGGCGGGTCTTCACCCCTCCCACCCCATGTCCTACATCTTCGCATCCATGCTTTAGCTCCTGCCTTTGATCCCCTGCTACTTGCCCTCTCTGCTGTCTGAGGAGACCCTGGCTTTCCCGCATCATCCCCACTCCGATCCTGTTCTTCAATTTTCAGCCCCTTTCTCCCCCACCAGCATTTAAACTGGCCTGTCTCTCCCGTCTTGTACTTTCTTCTGGTCCCTGAGCCCCATTCACAGCCAGAATCTTTTGTTGTTTAATACAGACACTCTCTCTCCTCCCTCCTGTGACCGTCATCCAGCGTCCCTCCCTATAAGCCTCTGAAACTGCTTTCCCCAAGGTCACCAACAGTCCCTTCGCTGATAAACCCCAGGCCTTATCGTCACTTCTGTGCAGCTTTGAGTGCTGGAGACCTTCCTCCTGATACAGTCACCTCCCTGCCCTTGACCATGGAGATGGTGCATTCCCTTTTCTTGCTGTGGGGGCCACTTTCCTGCCCCCTCACAGCCTGTCCTGGGGGAGGGAGGCGCTTCCTTTCTCAGGCCTCCTATTCCGGCCACTCTAACATGTACCTTCCCCCCACCCCCACCCCCGATCCTCTTCGGAGCTCCAGGCCTACCCCTCAGCTCCCGAGTTCCAGGTACCAGCCCCTCCCTCGTCTATTTCTGTGTGTGCCATCCCAGTGCCCAAGCCTTCTTCCTCATCTTTGAGATCTATTTGATTCTGTCTTCTTCACATCTCTGGGATGGACCTACTTTTAGTCCTTTCCCCTGGCACTGTTCTTTCTCTCCTACAGCCTGTCCCCCTGTAGACAAGTGGTGGCTTTGCTAGCATATGACTGTGACTGTCACCCTGTAGGTCCCACGGCCCTTCGCTTAAGACCATCTGCCTCACTGTGGGAGCAGGGCTTCTTGCCTCTTCTGTCCCCGTACCCCGGTGCACTCCTTGGCTTGGCCATCCTGAATGGCTGCTTGCTCTTCCCATAGGCTGGGCTGTCTTTCTCCTTCGCACAGGCTGCTCCCTCTCTTCTGGTGCCCCGCTATACACTCCTTATTCTTCAGGACTTAGCCTACACTTTTTCTTCCAGAAAGCCCTCCCCGAGTCCCCAGGTTGGGACAGCCCTTATTAATGCTCCCATAACATCTGACGCTTTCCCTGGCATTGTAACTGCCTGTTAAAACCGGTTGCTTCTGCCACGTTGTCAGCTCCGCGAGGACAGAAGTGCTGGACGCCCAGCACTACACCATGCTTGAAATATAACGGGTGCTCCAAAGACCGCCAAAGAACGGAACAATGTTCCCTGAAGGTCAGACAGTTTTGAAATCCGCATAAGACCCAGACCAGATTCATATATAGCTCCGGGAAAAAACGATGGCCTGTGAAGAGTTTATTAGGAAGGACAACCAGAGCCCCCAGCTCCACCCAGAGATATCCTCTCAAATCCGTGGCTACCGTGCAGCAGACGTCACCTCTAACATCTGTATTTATTGTGTTTCTCAGCTTCTCCAGTCAATGAAAACGGGGTGAGGGTCAAGGGCAGGGATCTGAGCTCCCGAGCACAAAAAGCCACTCAGGTCAGCCTTACCTTCATGTTGTCAGGGGGGTCTCCTTGGCCTGTAGTTGCACAAACAAATATCACCAGGGGCTCATTAATCAGATTCACCTCAACAAAAAGACACACGTGTAAAACCTCAGGCGGTAATGACCAGGCATCCTCCCCGCATTCGAGCCCCTCTCCTTCACTCGAGGTGACAGGGTAACGGGCGCACCCGCCAGCGGCTGGCCGCCTTCTCTTTCGGGCTCCACCTTGCCCCTTCCTCCACATGCTAAGGAGAGCTGCTGTTCTCAAGCTTTCCCATCCCCTAAATCTGCCGTAATGGCAGGGCCGGCTCTCAGACAAAACGCGACGCCTTAGGGTCGAGGGTTCTGGGGGCCGGTGCCCCAGGCCTGCCCGGTCTCCCCGCCGAGGCCCAGGGAGCCCTCACCACCGGGTAGGAGTCCAGAGCCTGCACCCGGCAGCCGAGCCGCCGGCGCCGGGCCTCGCGGCCCAGCCTCTCCGACACATCCTCGGCCGTGCCTGTCTGGCTGCCGAATAGCACCAGGAGCCGCGGGCTCGGCATTGGGGCGTTACCACGCCCCTGGGACCCCCTGCTCGCCGGTGCCCGACCAGCAAGCAAACACCGCGAGCCCCGGCCGCTAGAACAGGGTCTGACTTCCGACTTCCGGCGTCGCCCGGAAGTGACGCCTTTGGGCTGCGCCCGGCGGGGCATGGCGTCCGAGCGAGGCGGGCGTTCGCTGGCGGCCAGTGCTGGGTCCCGGGCCGGGGTCGGAGGATCGGCAGTGCGCCGGGGCCTAGGGCTGGCACAGGCGGGCCCGCTCGCTGCCTCTCGTTCGCCGCGGCGGCGACGTCGGCAGGCGCTGGCGAGGCCCGCGGGGAGAGGAGGCGCAGCCCGACGGGTGGGACGCTCGGCCGGGCCCCGGTCGGCGTTCAACCGGCGCGATGCTGTTCTCGCTCCGGGAACTGGTGCAATGGCTGGGCTTTGCCACATTCGAGATCTTCGTGCACCTGCTGGCCCTGCTGGTGTTCTCCGTGCTGCTGGCACTGCGTGTGGACGGCCTGGTCCGTGACCTCTCCTGGTGGAACGTGTTCGTGCCCTTCTTCGCCGCTGACGGGCTCAGCACCTACTTCACCACCATCGTGTCCGTGCGCCTCTTCCAGGACGGAGAGAAGCGGCTGGCCGTGCTCCGCCTCTTCTGGATCCTCACGGTTCTTAGCCTCAAGTTCGTTTTTGAGATGTTGTTGTGCCAGAAGCTGGTGGAGCAGACGCGGGAGCTCTGGTTCGGCCTCATCACGTCTCCGGTCTTTATTCTCCTGCAACTGCTCATGATCCGCGCCTGCCGGGTCAACTAGGGGGCCCAGAGAGGGAGCTCTGAATAGCTAGAACGCTGGACTCCAAGCTGAGGTTCCACTTCCACCGCACTAGAGGAGAAGTCTGGGTCTGAAAGCAACGCCAGCTTGTGCCCTGCAGAGTGCCCAGTTTACTCTCTACCAGTCATGTCTGAAACTGTTCCCTGAGCAGGGCTCAAAAGAGCAGCCTTGATCCATAAAATATATTTCCTGTTACTTCATGCTTTAAATAGCTAACCCTGAACTGAGATCTTGAAAAGGGCCCCAGGGCAGACTGTCCAGAACTCCTCTGATAGTTGGAAACTGCATATGAGTAAAATGTCCTGATGGGCTCGGAGTATTTTCATGGATCCTGGAAAAGCACCCCTTGTGCAAAGGCTGCAAAGCCAGCCTCAGGAATTTCCTCTGGCCAGCATTGCTGACCTAAGATCTCACTGTCCCAGTCACCCAGACGAGACTTCCTTAGATATTTGAGCTCTAAAATGTGTAAACCAGCTTGTGTCTCCTCCCCGGTGCCACTGGGGAAAGTATGGCCCTTTCTTCATTCCAGCCCAGGCAGACAGCAGTGTGTTGAATAAGCATGATTGGGACCCTATCAGGAGACCTATCTCCTGAGGAAAGAACTTTGCTTTAAAGGCTGTGCTTGGCTTCCTATCCGAGCCGGCTGCAGTATCACGACTTTTGCACCACCTTGTGGCCAGCACTGTTAGCGCACCTGCAACACAGGCCACCCTAAGGGACCAGAGAGAGGAACATGTGCTCTGATGCTCATAGGCTTTGAGACTTGCAAGTGGGAAGTTTGGGAATGGTCTTGGTTCACATTTGTGGGCCTGAGGTCTTTGGTTGGATGCCAGCCAGGTGCCAAATGAGAACATTTGCTGAGATAAAAATAAAATAAGAATGTTTTGCTGAAATGCACAGCGGTTGCCTGATCTATTGAGAGTGAAATTGGATGAGTGCTGAGATGCCCCATGCTGTATGGTGTAGCTGGTTACACCGCTGAGGCTTTCGGGGGATGAACACTAAGAGCTTCATGGGTGGATGGGGAGGGTTTTCCTTGGAGAGTCCCTACTTCCTGCCTTGGGAGCCATCCCGTGTTGAGGACCCACCGAGTAGCTTCCGTGACATCAGAGCCTTGGTGTCTTGCCAATGTGTGTTTTTTGTGGGCCTTGCTGACATTCTGTAGAAGATGGGTCAGCAAGCTATGACCTGAGGCTTGTTTTTGTACTTGTCAGCTAAGAACGGTTTTACATTTTTAAAGGATTGTAAAAACAAAGGAGAATGTGTAATAGAAAGCATGTGGCCTGCAGTGACAGGGTCTCTCAGCCTCGGCGCTGTTGGCCTTTTGGTAAGATGATTCTTTGTTGGAAGGGGGCTCTCCTGAGCACTGTAGAATATTTAGCAACATCCCTCGACTTGACTCACTAGCATGCCCAGTAGCATCCCTCATTTGTGACAACCAAAAGTGTCTCCAGACATTGCCAAGTCTCCCCGGGGGTGGGGGGTTGGAGCGGTCCCTGGTGAGCAACACTGGGCTAAAATATTTACTGTCTGGGCCTTTATAGAACAGATTTATGAACCCTTGTCCTAGCAAAGCAGCTTTGTGACCCTTTGCTTAGGACATATGTGCGTGGCCACTGAGATGCTTGAGTTGGAGGACTGGTCTGGTTTGTCTCACAGCCACAAAAACGTCTCCTACCCGGGAGTGGCGTAACTTGTGCCAAAGCCAGATACAAGCTGAATGTTTGCAATGGGTTTCCGTTTAATGTTATTTTTAGGTTGCATGCTTTGTTCCCATTTTATTCTGGTAGTTTACAATTAGGTGATTCTGTTGCTGTAGAAGTGATGAGCATAAGAAGGTTTAGATTGCTTTGGAAAGGTGATTTACTGTCACGGCACCCAGAAGCTGAAAGGGGCGCTCCAGGTTAAAACCTGCCCCAGGTCTTTGCAGAGCCTAGGTGCTCTGGGAGCTCCTTCCTGAAAGGCGAGTGCTGTGGGAGGCAGTAGTGTCATTGCCGAGCAACTGCTGATGCAGGGCAGGTTATGGAAAGGCAAGTGACTGTCTGTGTCAGTGCTCCCCAATTTCCTTTTCCCCTTTGCTCCAGCAGACCTGCAAGAACGTGGTGGGCACTGGGAGTAAGCTTCCTTATGGCACACGGGCAGGTAAGCTGTGTCCTCAGGGTCAGTGAGACATCTACCAGCCAGCCTTGGGATGGGGGAAGTTCAACAGTAGCTTAGGGAGGAAACGGGGAATATGTGGCTGGCTTAGGTGGCTTTCTGCCTCATTGAGCTGTGGGCCTGCTTGTGTGCGGAGAGGGAGTCCCCTTCCTCTCTACCTCCTCACAGCTTCCGCACTCCCATCCATGCTAGGAGAGCCCTGGATGGCAAAGTGTGGGGTACAACTTCTCCCACTTGTGTGAGCAACACAGTCAGCTCTGGGGGGACGGCAAAAGCCAGGGGTTCCAAGAAACCAATTTCTCAGCACTGGTGGGGCTCCAGCATTGGTATCTCCGCTAAGTCCTGCAGGGGACCGAGAACCAGGGGACTGAGGACTGTAGGTGCAGTCCCTAGACCCGGAGGGACCTGGACCGGGGCAGGTGCGAGGCTGGTGCGCAGCCTGTGTACCGCCCACCGGAGCGGGGATAGCCTTCCGGTCCTGGGCAGGCCCGTCCTGCACTGCGCTCTCAGCGAGGGGAACAGGTGGGCTGGGTGCTGGCATCAAGAGGAAAGACCTGGCCCAGCCAAGGTCACCCACGACGCACAGCGCAGAGCTCGGTCTCCGGCTGCCCCCCAGGACCCGCCCCCACCAAGCTCCGCCTCCCGGGCGCCGCGTGCAAGGCGCAGAGGCGGAAGTATGGGCCGCCAATGAGAGGAGCGAGGTGCCGGGGCGTGTCCAAGGGGAGGCCTTCCCCAACGGAGGCCGGCTCTGGCGGCGGGCGCTGCCAATGAGGCCCTCTGGAAGGCGGGGTCAGGGAGAGCGTTCTCCAATCAGCTCGTCTGGTCATCCTCCCCTACCATAGGTGGGGCTGCTGGGCGCGGGGCGGGTGTGAGCGGACCTCTCCCAATGGACAGCGGCCGGGGGGCGTGGCCGCGGCGCGAAGGCCGGCGGCGGGCGGCGGGCGGCAGCCGCAGTTCCCGGCGCGCGCTGGCTCCGGCG